AAATAACTAAAATATATAAACATCTAGCTTGTCCACAGAAGTCTATTGCTAGATCGCGACTGCTCACATAAGATACAAAGATCCTAAAGCAGCCCCATGAGCGGGCACTTTGCATTACACAAAAACAATACACCGAAGCATTAGTTCCTAAGAAATTTTCTACCTGACCTAGTTTAAAAATGGCGTCGCTATGTTATTCAATTTTAACTGCTGAGAAAGCGTAAAAAATTACTAAACCGGAAAATAACTTAAACCTATTCTTCCTAACAGGGAAAAATGTAAAAGCTAAGGAACGATGATATACATCTCTTACTGTACCTTAAGATTTAAATATACGCAAACGATATTTATATTTGATAAACAAAGAAACATCTAGAAATCTACTTTCAATCTAAGGGTTATTAATAGCGTGAGCATTAAAAACTTGCTCATTACCATTGAAGCGAAAGTTGTAGACACGATCTTGTACCTCAGGGCAGTAACAAAATTTGTGCATAGGTTTGAAACATAATGAAGCATTACAGTAGTGAGCGCATAACGAGAAAATTGATCACCGGCCAAATCCACCAAATCCAAATTCACTTCTTTCATATCGTATACACTGTAACGATTTTCAAGTTACAACATTTTTCACTCATGGGCAAACAGTTCTAGTACAATGTTACTCCAAATGGGGGCAATATACGGAAGTGAATGCTAATCAGTTATAAACTCCGGTCATCAATGACGTGTCGTTTGAATACCGTTTGACTTCTATCCAGTCGGTATTTACAATTCTATGGGTGATATTCCTCGCAGTAGGTAGTATATGGACGCATGTATTTTAGTTTGTTTGATCATCTCATTCTTTCGCTGTTTTCTATCCCTAAATTGATTTTCTGTTGTTCAACGCTTATTATACTTAGCTAAAGCTTTGTGTTCTTTCCGGCCACCATATTGTTGCACATTTTCTGACCGTCTGCGTGTTCGCTGTAAGTTGTTTCTCGTCGTCAATTATCCTATTTGTATTCTTACCATGTTGCCTGTTTACCTTTGCAATCAAGTGACACCTTAAGCCACCGATCGAAAAACTAATATCATAAACGGTTCACATTAAGAAGTCTGCTTCAACTCCGGAAGTCCCGAGTTCGATTCCACTCGAAGTAAATCGTTTATCCACGAAAACCCGTCAGCAAGAAATTTAACACATGTTACTTCAAACTGGATTTGCTCAGTTTGCAGTATGTCGCTCTTAGAACCGAG